ATCCATGCCCCTCTCCTGCCATCTAGAGGCATCAACCCCCCAGATATCTGTGAAATCACCCCCAGCCCCGTGCTGGATGTGTCCCCGCAACCCTCCGAGCCCCGGGGTGTGGGTGAGAAGTGAGGTTTGGGGTTCCCACTCCTGCTTGGGAGAGTCCGTGCAGCCCCGGAGAAGATGGAGGGGTTCAGCTAGGCTAGGAGGGGGATTTTGGTGGGGGTGAGTTGCCACATGAAGGTATCCTGCTTGGCTTCCAGGATATCCTCGCTAGCCAGCGACTCTCCCAGGAGTCCTCACCCTCCACCTCCCAACAGGGCAGCAGCGGCCGTAGAGGCTCGGCCAGCTCTGCCGTCGCAATGTCTCCGTGCATAGGGGACCAGGGTCAGGAGGGGGCTGCACTACCCCATGGACGGGCCAGGGCCACGCTGCTGCTCCCACGGCAGCGATTGCTTCTACCCCTCGCTCAGCCTTTCACTTCAGCACGGGTGCAGCGGTGCCGGCGAGATACCCGCATGGTCCCTCAACTTGCCCATTTTTGCAATCCTTTTTGCAGAGCCCTGCCTTGCTCGGCCAGCAGAGATGACCAGAGCTCCCCCAGGGCCTCATATCTCAGACTTTCCCCAAGCAAGAGATCCCCCAAAACACCACAAAATCCATCAGTTGAGCCAAAGGAGGCTGAGTTTATTTGTTGGGGTCAGGGCAATGAGGGTCATTGCAATGGGAATACAGCCCGTGCTCGGGGACCGAGCCCGGCTGAGCAATGCTGAGCTGGGTCTGTGCCACGGACCCCCAACACCTCCATCCCCCAGGTGGTCTGCGAGGCTCCACATCCCCAGGTCTCCTCGCCAGCAGTCCTTTATAGGGTGGTCTCCACCGTAGCGTCCCCAGGCATGTGGCTCCCCTCCTCGCTCGTCACTTTCTCTTCAAACACTCGTCGGAAGGCGACTTTCATGGAGGCTTGGAATCCACGCTGCCGGCAGCTCCCCACCAGAAAGTAAATGACCGGATTGATGCTGCTGTTCAGCGATGCCAGCAGGTAAGAAATATGAAGGTAAAATGGGTCAATATAAACAGGATCCAGGAAAATCATCACATTGCAAGGAAACCCAAAGAGGAACAAGAAGACCACACTGAGCAGGACAGCAACGTAGAGTTTCCCTGGGTGTCGTCTCTGTGAGCCACATTGGAGTTTGATGAACAGGGAGAGGTTGGAAAGGAATGGGAATAAAGTGAAAATGAGAAAATTCACAATGCATACACCTTGCACTACTTGTTCACATTTTATATTCCAAGGGGAATAACAACTAATGAAAACCAAAGAAACAAAAATTCCGGCGAGAGCCCAGAGCACCCCACACACGATGCCTGACAAGCGCTTTGGGCGGTGGCACCGGTACCAGATTGGGAACAAAACAGACAGGCACCTCTCCACGCTCATTGCCGTCAGGAGATACATGCTGGCAAAATACCAAAACAGAAACAGATCCATCAGGATATAATTGGTGGGTAGATATTCAAATGAGGAAATACAATAGACTGTTGAAACAATGTGTAATATAAATTTAACAAGAAGGAACACGAGTAGAAAGAAGTCAGTGATGGCCAGGTTCAGGACATAGACAGTGAAGGGGCTCTTCTTCATGTGGAAGCCCAGAAACCACACGACCACCATATTTCCCACAAGTCCACACAGGGAAATACCAATAAAGACACCTGCAATTATCAAGATACTATAATTTTGTATTATGCACTGAGATGGAATAACCGCCTGAGAGTCTGCATATTCAGAAGCATTCATGTAGCTCAGAGAGATGTCTATTGTGTTGGTCTCCTCCATGGCGAATGAC